GGGGGGGGGCAGGTGTAAGTTTGCCATTTTAGAAAGTCCGTCTTGGATTTTAGAAAGTCTGTTTCGGATTTTAGAAAGTCCGTCTTGGAAGGATTGCCAGAGACACGGTGACGGAGCAGGCTAAACCCCGAGGGTGGAGTGTGTGGGGTGCCACGAGACCCAGCCTCTTATAGGACCAGGCTTTAAACAATAAAGCCATAAGAAATAAAAGGAGCTTTAGTTTCTGTGCCGTGTCCACACGTGGCTGCAACAACGGACTTCAGGTGGTAAAGTGGGAGCAGGGTATTGAAGAGGCAATGGGTCTAATGCTCAAAAATAGGGACAAGGGGGTTAGGATTCCTGCCACTCATGGCTCACTATGAGTGACCATGGGTAAGTCACTTGACCCCTCCATGCCTCACTTTACACATCTACAAGGTCCACATAGTAAGGCTCATTGCTCAGCTGCAGTAATTAATCCATGTCCACAGTGTCCTGTGCGTTTTAACCACAATAGCACCAATGGAAATATAACTCAGGAATTTCCTGACTCGCCCAGAAGTATCGTCAGCACCGCAGCACTCCTAGTCCCACCACACCGAGTTAAGAGGGCCACGATTCACACACTGCACTTCTGCTAAGTCACTTCTAGTCAGCCTGTCTCTTTTTGGACCTTCTGACCCTCCATGGTCATTGTTCAGCTAACAAAGGACGGAAGTAAGACAAGCTACTGGCCATTTCCAGCAAGAACAGAAACAAAGCTCAGCCTACTGAAACCATGATTCATTCAGCTGAAACTAGGTCCACAGATAAATGCTTAAAGCTTAGTTTTATACAGAATGGGAACAAACCAAACATCAGCTCCGAAAAACCCCAGGCCCTTCAGAAAATTCAGATTTGGCTGCAAACACACCATTAGACTTCTTGCTTCCCCAAATACGCCCTAAGCTTTGTAAGAGTTAGCACCCAGAGCCAGAGCTTTGTGGCTTGGTTGTTACACTTAAATTAAATACTTTGCTCAGAATGGCTTTAGGACCTCTAGGATGACAGACTCTGAAACTGGAAAAGTGTCACATTCAAAGAGGCCATTTCCCCCTTGCCGCAACCCCATCTGAAAAGGAACAGGCTCCATGACCTGCAGGTACCAGAAGTGAGACTCTAGTTGGAAAATATAATGTGACTTGACCCCAGCAGGTTTTCCTGGAGAACGTATTGTAAAGTAGAAAGTGGAAGAGAGCAGCACTCTCTGGTTCAGGGGTCTCCAGCTCCTGCCTAGCTGTGTCAAAATTTATGCAACCCACTGCAGTCTCGTAAAAGAAAAGGGAGCAGAAATCAAGGCAGATCTTGACTTGAAGTGGGCTTCAAGTCAAGCACTTTGCCCACCCTCTTCTATTCCCTGCGACACTGAGAACCTCATTCACTGCTTGGCTTCCTCCTCACCTTTCTACTTCTTGTTTGCAAAAAAAAAAGAAGCTGCAGATGTATTTCAGCAGAAAACAGAAAAGGCTGGGATAAAAAAAAAGCTTGATCCAAGTCCCAGGAAGGTCAATAGAGAGATTCCTATTGCTTTAACACAGCTTGGACTGTCAAAGGCCAATGTACGACAGCAGAAAGCAGAAAATAAGAAAGTGCCTGTGTGTGTGTGTGTGTGTGTGTGTGAGAGAAAGAGAAAGAGGGTTGGAGGGGAAAGTGAGTTGAGAGTGTGGGCAAGAGCGATTCATTTTCTCTCCATACAAGACTAAAACATAAATCACTCCAAGACTTGGTCTCAGCCGTTCCTGTGCCTAGTACTCCATGGCAAAGCATAGCAGACCCAGTTCAAATAGATGTGTGCTTGCTGCAGCCTCTGCTTTATAACAAGGCAGCTGGAATAGATCATTTGGCCGAGAGAGAGAGAGAGATTCAACAGCAGAAGAGCCCACAGGGCTGTTCTTGGCAATGGTAGTGGTGCCTGCCAAGATGAGGGGAAAGAAGAGGCTGCTTACTGGGACAAGCAGACAGCTTTATCTGCTTGTTCAACATGCAGCTGTCTACTGCCAGCCACTCGGGGTTTCCTTTCCTTCTCGTTCATTTTTCCTGCCTTAATTAAGCAAGTTGCACTGTGTTGGAGCTGCCAGTGACCCAGTTCCCAGAGGTTTTCCCTCTCCGGCTCCCTTTGTTCAGCTTGTGAGCAGGAGGATGCTGGCAGATGCAATGCTCCTTATAAGTGACGGACAAAGAAACGTTTATTCTCACTTTCACTTCTGGATAATGCTTGCAATTATTAATCACGCTTACAGGCCGGAACCAGTGGCATTTGTATTACAAGAAATGCATCAATTCATATCCTGTGTAGCCCCAATCCCTTTTTGTAACTCTGGGTACCTACAAAAGTCTTGACAGCAGCTGGCAAGGAGTATGAAGTTCATGCTGATGGGTGTTTCCTTCTGCTTCCAATCTCCCCATCTATGAATCTGGTTGTCTCTTGCCTCAGATTGAATGCTCTTTGGAGCAGTGACCATCTTTCTGCCCTGTGCTTGCACATCACAAGGCAAATAGGACCAGTAAGACCATGTAGACCAGGGTGTCTACAACTTGGACTCCTCTGCAATACTGAAAATAATCCTGATGAAAAGGCCTACCTAGGATTCAGCTTTCTGGTTTCATCTCCCTTTCTCATGTGAAGGGAGTTTACGCATGTACTGTTCTCCAGGTCCAGGAAAAGAGACATTCACCAGGAACAGCAGCAATAAAACCGAAGAGGCTGCATGTACATGGAGGGCATGTGATGTACACAGAGGTGAAAATCACTGCATCTGGCCTGTGCCTGGACTAAAAAGCCCTTTTAAACAACAGCAGAGGAGCAGAAAAAACCTTTAGACTCCTTAAAATTAACTTGAAAAGGAAATGTCACGACAAAATATGCAAGTGATCATTTTCCCTTTAAAAAAACCAGAACAGAGCTACCTGAAAATAACAAACATTTGGATCCATGATCTGAAGACCTTGCGGCAGGGGAAAGAATGAGGAGGTTTAGGGGTTTGGTTCTACCTTTATAAGTCCAGGGCCATTTGTATCAGCAGCTCTAGAGTCAAAACCCCACCAAGTGTGCGACCTGCCTTCTAGTTCAGGAGAAGACCTTCAGCTCTCTCCTTTCCCATCTCGCTGTCCTATTTCTTCTAATGACCCACGTGCCAATGTTCCCTGTCACCAGCTGAGGCTGCAATGTCCTCTTGTGTTTAATGCTTGATTAATTTTTCAGATGTAAGCCTTGGATTGTACTACCTCTCGTCTCAGAGGCGCCAGCCCAGAACTCAGGCCCTGTAACAGTTGGCTGGAGGGGAAGTGTTGCAGGGGAGTGTACACAGAGGTGATGTACACAGAGGTGAAAATCACTGCATCTGGCCTGTGCCCAAACTAAAAATCCCTTTTAAACAGGGGCTGACAGGAAACAAAGGAGACCATACAGTACCCCAACCACCACCACCAGGCTTCACTAACACGCCCTGTCACACAGACAATTATGTATGTGCTTCACTGACCTGGCAGAATAAGGGTGAGCTGGCTCCATGCCAAGGCCCAAAGGACTGCTTGTCTTTGTATGTGGCAGTCGGCTGTCTCTGAAGTTGTCCAAATGATTTCCCCTCCCAGGTCCTTCCTCTACAACTCAGACAGAAAAAACATGTCACTCGGGGGGACCCACAGGACCTACTCCTAGTCCAATGGGGATTTTTTATTTCCATAACAGTTACCCTTCTCAGTGATGGTTTATGATTTCAATGGGTGTTTTTCCCACCAATTCAGGTGCAAGGGAGTCTTTGAAGGGTCATAGCCCCTCATTCTCCCTCAGCCCTCTTGTTACAGCCCCTTCCCAAAACACTCCTTCCAGAGGCTGCCATTGTCACTCCTTATGCAAGCCAAAAAAAAGACATGCTCCTTCCTTTTCTGCCTGGAGCTGTCACTGCTTAAACAGCTCCAGAACAAAGAGCAGAGTCTGGGACTTGAGCTCCTGGGACAACTTACTATTGCCTGTTGCACTGCTGTTACAATTCTGGTTTGATCAAACAAACAAGTTTGTTAGTCCTCTGCAAGGAAAGGCACTTTTGTTTGTGCTTTGAGTTTGGAAGAAGATGGCACACACCTGAGGTTTTATTCTTAAGAGATCTGGCGTGCAGAACTTTATGTGATCGCAATATTCAGTTTTCAAAATAGCCCTGACCCGTCCCGTCTCTTTCAAGGTATTCTGTTAGTTGACTGTTGGCCTTGACGGCAGTAGAAATAAATGATTATGATATAGTCTTGCTTGCCCATGCAACCCATTCAAAATAAAAAACAAAAATCATGCACTCAGGGCTAAAATTAAAACAAATTAAACAAATTCAGAGCCGGCAGGTAACAAGGGCTTAACAGAGAAAAAGAAAGGACCTAATGTGTGAAAACATCCAAGAGCAGGAACTAAGAGCCTTTTTGTATTTGACAAACTAAAAATAATTATTCTAAAGCTCACAGAGTTTGCCCAATTTACTTTCACACCTGTTTCGGCTTTTACAAAATCCCCATCCACTTTTTTCTCCTAGACCACCTGTGTGGAAAGTCATAATTAAAACCGTGAGGGGGGAGGGTGAGAAAGAAGAAAAACGAATTTTTTTTGAATCTCAGAAAAGTCTTGTTCAAGAGAGGGCTTAGACAGGTTCTTGTTTTA